GCCGCTGCTGGGAACCGTACCACCCGTCTTGCATTAAACACCCCCGATACCCCCAAACACCCTAGCACCCTCATCGTACGACAAGCGGTCGCGCCCCGCCTCGTCCCAATCTCTTGGCTCTTGGAACTTGATGCTCCTTTTACTCCTCTTATCTCATTCTCGCGAACCTCTTAACCTTTTTTACTTTTACCTTTACACCCTTTACCCTACTCTATCTCCATCTTATCTACCTAAAACTATCCCACATCTCTTCTCACAATGATACTTCTTATACTTTACAATTGTAGCCAATTAAACAAATTGTACTTTTCTATTTCTCTGATATTATTTATAGTCCAGTAGAGAGAAAAATATAAATAAAAATAAAAATAAAAATATAAAGGAATAAAAGGAAAACACCTGCGTGTGTATGTGATAAAGCATTAAATGGACAATTTAGATGACAGGATCCGGAAAAATAGCAAGCTTGCATGACTATACATAAATCATTATTTTCCTAAGAGTGAGAACTCTATTTTCTGATCAATTATTAAGGGACTATTTCTCTGCTCCGCTCTTCAGCTTCCCTACTGCGACTTTTTACTTGATATCGATTATTGTTATTATTATCCACTTACATCTTACTTTATTTTGAAAAATGGAAATAGAATTTGTAGGTAAATTCATCGTTTTAGATTGGAGAGGAATATTATTAATGCGCCTTTTATTTACTTTTACAGATTAAAAATAATTAAAGAGCTTTGTGTATCGAATGCTATTGGGTGGCCTCGCTTACGCTGTTCAAAGGGTTGAAGTATAATCCTCTCGAAAATGACGAGCCGAGCGTGAAAGACAGTTAAATTAATAGGATTTTCAAGTGACTCTCACCTACTATATAGACTTATGTAGCATTATATATTATATATACTATTATATATGTATATAACCAATCGCCTTCTAAATTCTAAACAACTTTTAGATAATTCGGGTGTGATTATTTTCTTATTGTGTAATTATTTTCTTTAAGATAATTTTTTTTAAAATAGCCAATTTAAAAATTAAATTTTAGAAAGAAAAAAATCTTGAATCAAGATTTTTTTTTCTTGAAACAAATTAATTTTTTTATCCTAATATTGTCATAAATTATTTTTAAAGATATAACTAAGTCACAATTTTATTGATAATAAAATAATTAATAATCTATTACTTACCGTCTTTATTCATTCCAGCTTCAAAGCACTTTTTGAGGCGACAAGCTCGACACTGATTCCGATGAGTTTTATCAATTGGACAGCAGCCTTGTTTAGAACCATGCGCTTTGCAGGAATAATCTCGATTACTGTGAATACTTCGTTTAAAAAATCCCGAGCAGCCTATTATAAAAACAAAAAAAATTATTATTATTTTCCACTTAATTTGACTAATAAATAAATAAATAAATAATACTACCGTCACAACTATAAATGCCATAATGCTTTCCAGAACTTCGATCTCCACAGACGTTGCATGCAATGTCTAAAAGTCTTTCACCTGCAAGTAGTACAAATATTAATCCACAACCGCAAGTAGAATAGCCACAGACTGGTCAGACAATTTAACAATTTTATCATTTTTATTATATTTACTCACTTAAATTAAATTAGATTAAATTTATTTCAATTATAGAAGAGTAAAAAAGTAAAAGTGAATAAAAAGAGGTGAAAAAACCGGAAAACGGAGAAATTCTTTTTAGAAGACTAATCTGTTCGCTCCCTTTCACGGGATCCTTAATCGTCCTAATGATCCGCGGCAAGAAAAACAGAGCCGCGTCTAAGCCAACTCAACTGCTCAGGGTGTATCAGCCCCTTCACAAAAGACACCCTTGGTTTAGCAGCAAAACCAGCCTAACCCGATCAACCGTACTTCTCTCGGGATTATCTTCTTCCGGATTCTTTTAAGTGATACTTTTTTATTTATGAGCTACCGATAAATACTTTCAAGAATTAAACTTGTTTTAAAGCTTCTCCACTTTTATCTTCACTGTCACTTTTTGTTAATATTAACAATAAAGCATTAATACTCCAAAAAAATAAAATAAATTAAATCACTTAATGATAATTTCACTTATAATAAATCACCACTGGCTCTAATCAATAAATAAATAAATAAATAAATAAATAAATAAAAAACTAACCTGTGGGCATCCTCCAACCATCTAGCCAAGACGAATAACTGATACCGGGTCGCAGAGTGTCTGAAAGTCCCGGTTAGTTGTCCCTGGCTGGGTGGCTGAGAGACTTGACGTGGCTGCCCGTCCACCAAAGTCTCCGTGTGGACGCGTGTGAGCACTCATAGGTAGTTAGAGTTAACAGTGGCCTCGCCCGGGGTGTCTATCCTACACACTACACAATACTTCTATCCAGTCTCTAATTTTTCTTCTCGTCTGTAAAGGAGCTCGTAAACAAACGTACACGTCTGATCACCAAATAAAAGTGTGAGTTTGTTCGTCCTGTCGGCTTTTTTTATCCCACTAAAGTGAAGTGCTTGTTGTCTTTATCGTCCTCCTTCTATTCTCCCGGTTGTCGGCCGTGGCGAAATATAAATGCTGTACTCGGTTTCACCGCCAGGTTGGGGCTAACAAAGTTTCAACATATATATGTATGCGGAGTGAATTGAATCTAGCTGCAGTGTTATGTAGATGTAGATGTAGATGTTGGATCTAGGATGCAGGATGCGGGATGCAATGCAGGAACAAGAGCAAAAGAGCAAGAGCGAGGATTCTGTTGGAGATGGTTTAGGACTTGCTGGCTGAGTGGCTCGTCCTTGCGTCACGGGGTATCGCACAGACTCGAGGGGATGGTTGCTGATGCTGATGCTGATGCTAGTTAGCCACGGGGGCGGCTCCAAGGCCACGTTGTCAGCTGACTCGACTGCGCCACCACTATGTCATTGGTTGGCTCCACCCTCCGACACAATAATAACGATCGCGGTACGCTCGCGAGGGGGTCGTGGGCGGACCACCGAGGGGATCATTAAGACACGCCCAAATCGCCTTTTCATCCCCCGTAATCGACGGGCTTTTTAAACCACAACAAAGCTGCTTCTGCTTTTATTTACGCTTATACTGATACTGATACTGTTGCTGTTGCTGGTGATACTACTCTTCTATACATATATATAAATATATATATATATATATATATATATATATATATATATATATATATAATACTACTCTATATGCTTGTCAGATGTGTCAACTTGATGAACGTCATTTGGGCTCTAAGCAATGTAAAGGTATCTCTTTGTTTTTATTTTTTTTTTCTCTTCTGTTGATTTTCCGAACAAATTCGTGTAATTACAATATTTTGCATCTGTATTTTTATTTTAAATGGAAAACGTGGAATAATCAAAATACGAGCATGTTAATGTAACAATTACACAAAGAGATGTATCGATTGTATAGTAAAAGTGTAAATAGTATTTTTTATTTTATTGCAGGACGCGATGAATCGAGAGTTCAGGTATTTATTATTAAAATATTGTTGGAAGTAGTAGATATGTATGCGCGGTTATAAGCTTTTTACGGATCATAAAATAGCGTTTACACGATCTAATGGCTCGGTACGCCGCGCAATGTCCCACCGACGAATCCTCTTTCATTCGCATCGCAATGGTAACGTTGGTGAAAATATCTACCCTCGGGGCTTATATAGGCCGGATGCTCGGTGTCGGCTGAGGGGAAAAGAGCTTTCAATATCAAGGGTTGAAAAGCCTTCAAATGGCAAATAGACATTTTCACCTTTTTAGGATTATTATAGAATACATCTCAAATTCAATTCGGTCAATTTTATCTAGTATATTTCTTATTTTTTGGGTTAGAGCTGATATTTTTTTTTATAAAAGATTAAATCATTGATTTTATAAATTTTTTTTTTGTTGCTTAATTTTAATACATGAAACGTAGAACAAATTTTTTTTCATCGAATTTCAAAACAAATTTAAGGAGGTACTGCGGTAAATAAAGACACCAATAGGTTATGGCTATTGGTTTCTTTCTCACGCACCTGAGCTGCCTCTCTTTACAGACTACCACTCACGTAAAAATATCGAAAGTCGCTAACTTCCAACATTTTTTATAAGAAAATGAATAGCGCTCGTTTATGTTATTTTTGATAAAAAATACTTGTTATAACTTCAATTAAATATTCTCAGTTTTTAAAAAAAATCCTAAGAAAAGTATGGTTGTTATTCAATAAAATATTCACTCTAACTACGGTCAGGATAGATGTACGATTTTCAATTGCTAATATTTCGAAAATTAGCACCGCAAGGACTATTAAAAAAAATTTATTCGTATAGAGGACACTTAAAAGTATGCGTATTAAAAAATTGAAGAATTTTGTAAGAAAAGTGATTTTGCACAGTACCTCCTTAAGTAATTCTCAATAAATACGATAAAAATTATTGTAATGGATTTTTTTTAAATGTTAAAAAAATTTTTTAATTTATTTGATAGAGTGATTAAATTAAAAAAAATTGTTTTAATTGTTTGTCAATGATTTTCTTGGAATACTTGAATAAGAATAAGAATAAAAATAAAAAGTGAGCTGTACTGAGTGCTAAAGTGTGAGTCTAAAGTGTTGTATAAGCACGAGACGAACGACGGGCCACTTGGATTAGAGTTTGGATCAAGGATTGAGGGTTGAGGGTGCGAGAAGAATATCTTGATGGGTATAGATATATGGACGTATTCTCTTGTCGGTCGTGTCGGAAACTCGTGTAGGACAGCAATGTGTGCTCTGTTGAGCCTCGTCGTTCGCTTGAATAAACTGTACGAGGCCTTCTGACCACCCTGTCAGGCACGCCTCGGGTTCGCGCCAACCGCCGCGGCCAACGTTCGAGGATTTAGATTCCAGAGGGTTTACGCTCGACAACCGCTCGGTTAAACAGATTTTCAACTTCAATCGTTACGTCTTGTCTGTGTGCTTTGCATCAATCTGATTTATTCACTCTATATATATATATATATATATATATTTATGTGGACTTTGTTTAAATTCTGTTAAGATTTGCTTAATTTCAATAATTAATTCGATTATTGCATGAAAATAAACTCATTTTTTATTCTGGTCAGTTTAATTAAATTTTACCAAATTTTTTTTTTGTTTAATTTTTTCAAATTTTATCAAGTTAAATTATTAATTTCATAAAAAGAAAAAAATTTTTTCTAAAATATTAATTTGCTCGAAGAAAAAAAAATAGTTTTGAATCAAGAGCCTTAATTTATTGATTCAACAAAAAAAAGGTATTCAATAAAATATATATATGTATATATATATATATATATATTTAGTCACAATAAATATAAAAAAAACAATAGAATGCTGTGAATTAAACGTAATAAATAAATTAAATAGTAATTTAAAAGAAACATTGAAAGAATGAAAAAAATAAATATTATTTTCACCTTTCTGCCTTTCGAGCAACATTTCCCGATCAATAGGAAGCGTTTAGTTGTTTAACTTCCCCAGTTGCAATGCCACCTTGGTAACCCAAGTCCCTTTACCCCTCGGCCTGCACACCACCGTAATAAACCTAAGTCCAGACCCACTACAAGCCAGACACGTTGCGTGTACTCTAGAAATCCAGAAACCCAGCTTGAATTTCGGACATCTACTCACCCGAGGAACAAATCTACCTTCATCCCGACGATAAAGTAAGCTCGTGATTATTAACGATAAATCATTATCTTCACGTCACGCACCTAAAATAATTTTAATTGGTTTTTCTCTTTTCAGATTAATTTTGTTAGTCAGGATGCTGAACCGTCAGTACTTGGACTTGCGATGCAGCTCAAATGACCCCGGAAGGGTCCGTGATGAACGATGTCGCATTGACGAGCATCCGACGGATCCAAATGCTCAGCTGAGTTCGCAGATTGAACCTTGTGGTGTTGAAAATTTTAATTACAAACCGGTAAATAATTTTATTATTCATTTATTTATTTATTAATTAAATTAGGAAATTAATTAATTAATAATCAGGAAGCTGGAGACTGTCCAACAGTGAATGCTTTGAGAGAACGGATAACTGAGGCCGGAAAACCTCCGCCGTATTTTCCTCAATTGAATGACAACGTTCCAGCGATTGATGAAGGGCCGATGGGCCCAGTGGGTCCTTGGGCAACAGGGAGGCCTGTTTTTTCTCCGGTTAATGGAATGACTGGCATAAGACCTGTTGTTGATCGTTACTCAATGACTCGGTACACTCCAGCTCAGTGGCGAGGTCACAATAAAACATTTTTTGATCAGTCTAGTCGAATGATTAGCAACGCTAGGTATTTATTTTTATCTTTAATTAATAGTATTGGTTTTTATAAATTTGTAAAATGTTCCTCATGACTCATGATAAATACTAGAACGCTGGCTAAGGATGTGAGGGAACACAACTCGAGAGTTTACAGAGAAACAGATAAAAATCAGCTGGAAAATAGAGACCGGCTGAGTGGCAGGGCTGGAGAAATTCATTACTGGAAAATGGAACTCGAGCGAGCGATTATTGAACTCACTGATGAAATAGAATTACTTGAAGTTGAACACCGACGCGTTAAACAATCACTCTCTGTATTGACCATTCCCGAGTCAATTGCTGGTGAATTTTTGCAAATTCGTTCCACTAGAATGGAACCTGATCTTGTACGTGATAAAGTTGAAGATGAACTTGTCAAGGTAATTTCAAATAATAATAATAATAATAATAATAATAATAATAATCTATATAATTAATAGAATAACAAAAATTTTGTGGCCAGTATATTTATATAAAAAAATGGGTTTTTATGGTTAAATTTGGTATCATTAGAAAGGTCTTGACCTGGAGTTGTGCCTTTTCAAGGTTTCATATCATTCTCACCAATAGTCAATTTATGATGATAAGTATTTAGGCTGCATTCGAAAATGCTCTATCTCTAGATACAGAAATAAGAAATGACCTTGTATCTTATGAACTATTGACATTTTTAAAGATATAAGCTCATCCCGATAATAGACTCATCAAGAGCTTTCATTGGAGTACCCGAAACATCAATTTTTCATATATATATATTATATATATGTATATATGAAAAATATACCAAAAATGCATGTGGGTACTCAAATGAAAGCTCTTGATGAGTGTGACATCGGGATGAGCTTATATCTTTAAAAATGTCAATAGTTAAAAAAGTACAGAGCAATTTAACAAAAGTCATTATTTAATAAAGCAAAAGTTTAATTTTTTATAGTTCACAAGTCACGGCAGTCACATAGTGACTGCAAGGTTGCTAGTAAAAATAATAATAATTTTTATTTAGGAAACAGCTTTATGCTCTGTTGTGAGAAATATACTTAATAAAACTCGTGAATCAATAGAAGATCAATTACTGGAGTTAAAAGCAGTAAAAACCCGCGTTGAGTTTGATTTAACAGATAAAATTGATGCTTATGCTAATGACTCGGCGTGTATTGGCTTAACAAATGATTCTCCGCTGATTATGATGAAGCCTGGGGCTACTAGAGTTCCACCTGAGTAAGCTTATGCAATTTAATCTTTATTTTAATAAAATATTTACTCGATTATTTTATTTTAATCTTACATTTTTTTTTTTAATTGATAAGAATAAAAATTATAATTTTTTTAATAAACAGACAATCGTCACCAGAAGGATACGATAATTTTACAAAAGTTAATTTGGAAAGTTCTGAAAATACTAGACAAAAATCAATAGCTCTAAGAGCGGCTTTAAATGATACTTATTTGAAAGTTGTGAAAGATTTGCGACAACAAGCGACTGAAGTCGACTTGGCCTTAACGGACAATGTCAATGTCACTGAACAAGTTTGTCAGGCTCTGGAAAAGGAATTAGTTAATGTAATAACATAATTATTTCTATCAATCAACACTTAATCTAAAGAAATAAATTATTAACTCGAGGAATTTTTTTTTTATTTATTTTTTTTTTTTTAGTGCCTGAATCAATTGTCAGATACCGAAAAATTGATCGAAGAATTAAGAGGAGCCAACAGAGGACTGGAAGAAGCTATGAAAGTTGCCCAGACTCGATTAGATATTCGTCATGAGCGTAGAAATGTTGAAAATTGTCGCGACATTCCACAATATGGGTAAAATATATATTTTTAAAATAATTTTATTGTCTTTATTTTTATTTGTATATTAATTTTTGGTTTTTTGGACAGTTTAATTGAAGAAGTAAAAATTATCGGAGAAAATTTAACGTCAATGGCTGGTCAATTGCGACAAGCAGAAGAAACACAAGCAGGCCTGGTAAAATCCCGCGGTGACTTGGAACGTGAAATAATGGTGAAGAGAAAAACTCTTTACATAGACAGAGATCGTGGACAATTGTTACGTTCATTTTATCCCTCAGCAGAAGCATTGTCTGGCCACGTATAAAATTCTCCATCTCTTCCTCTTTCCTCATCGCCACCACCATTTCCTGACTACATATCACGGCTCGACTGATATCAATGAATTTTTAATCCTTTTAGAATTAAATTTTTACGCTGTTCTTTTTGCCTGCCTTATTTCTATTCGCTTTTTTAGCGATTCTACAATTGTCTTGTAATAAAAGTTTTTTATCTTTTACGGCTGCTTTCCAAGTGTTATAATTATTTTAATTCTGCAGTTAAATTTTCTTTTGTCTTTTAAAAATCAATATTCATTTTTTTCAACTAATTTATTTATTTACTCAAAAGTTATTAGGCTAACTAACATATGTTTATACAACTTTTTTCAAGCGATATATTATCATTTTAAAATGTCTAGTGTAACAAAATATCAACTAGTCAAACAATTTTATCGACCAAGTATTGATCATAGTCCAGTTTATGATAATGATAAAAAAATTTTATCAAATAATAATAATAATAATAAAGAATTTTCTGCAGCACCAAAAGTTTCATTTCTTCCATCGAAAAATGAGCAAGAGGTATGATTATTATAACTCGATTTTAAATTAAATATTTAAACCTTAAATTCTTAATAAAAAATAAATAAATAATTAAAATAAAAAAAAAAACTCGCTAAGATTATTATTGATTAAAACAGATAAACCCTGTTCATAAATAATAGCTTCAATTTCTGAATTCAATGCTGAATTTTTAAAGGAATTTCAAGAACCACAAGCTGACGAATTAGAAAAAGAAGCAACTGAAGAAAAAATGTACCCATACTCGGTTGTAAGAGCATCTGACTGTTCATTGCCTCTAAATAAATGGGCAACTCTCGCCCAACATACGGGATCTAGACCATCGGTGGATAAATTTACCGTCTCACGATTCAGCCCTGGCGAGTGGTATCTGCACAATGAAGCTGTATCTCAGAATGCTTTTCAATCGATCAACGATATCAAGTTAGAAAACTACCCTGATAGCCATTTCATACTATAAGTTTCAGATAACCTAGTGCCGCGAATTATAGATAACTTGACAAAAGTAGCTGGCAATAAGTTATGAAAATGAAGTTAGTTGACATTTCAAAATTTTTAGAAATTTTTTTTTTTTTAATTTCAATTAAACAATTAAAAAAAAAAATTCACAAAAAATACATGAAAAACTATGAGTGCAATTTTTTAGAAATATCGTTTTAGTCGTAATTTAATTAAAAAAAAAAAAAAATCAAAAATTTTTAGACGTCTGCTGATTTCAGTGTCATCAATAAGTTTTATCTACAATTTATCGTAAAGTTATCGTCAACTTTACTTCAACGAATTGTATTGAAACAACTGTCGTTAAGTTACCGAAATTTTCTATTCAAGTTTATTATAAGCTTATAGATAACTTGTTTTTAAATATCGGCACTATCTTATTGTCAACTTATAATATATAAGGATGAGCATTTGTAGACTTGACATTAATTTAACGATAACTTGTCGCTAAATTTATCTACAAGAACTTATAGTATGAGGTGGCTATCAGGGTAAATTCAATAATTTTAACTTCAATAAATTAAGGCTTGTATTTTTTAAATTTTGATTTTGGGTAGAAATGAAGCTTTTTCATTGGAGCAAATCCAAAATCAAATTTACCACCGAGTGGACGAAAATCAATTTAACAATAAGTACTATCTAACAGTAAACACACGTGCTTTATTTAACCGGAAGCGTGAATTGGAGCTGATTAATAAAGACGTGATTGATAAACTGGGAAGTATTAAAAATTTAATCCAGCAATTGATGAAGAGTGATCGTGCGATAGAATCGATTATAAAAATCGATCATGACTTGAAGTGTCTTAGAAATACGAGATTAGAGCATGATCTAGTTCATGATGCAGTTACTGAAGAAATTCTTAAAGTATTTTTAGGTTTATTTATATAAATAATAATAATATTAATTTTAATAATAAAATTTAGGAGGAAGAACTTTGTAAAGAAAAATTAAAATTGAATAAAAAATGTATCGAAAGAGTAAAACAACAATTAAATGAATTGAAGGAAGCTAAGCAACGAGTCGAATATGATTGGTCATGCAAGAAGGATGCTTACCATATAGACACAGGTTGCCTTGCTTTAAATAATAGTTCTAAAAATCTGGAATGGAAACCAGGATGTGCACAGTTACCCGCTGGGTATTATTAAAATTAATTAAATAACAACTATATTTACAATTTTTATTGTAATATATTTTATTAATTAATCATTAAAATTACTCCTAATTAGACAATGTACACCAGTAGGACATGAACAATTTACCGAGGAATCAATAGCATACGCTCAAATAGCAATCAACAGATCTCGAGTACTAAAAACGACTATTAGAGACCATATTAATAAACTTGTCAAGGATTTGCTACTACAAGCCTGTCAAGTTGACATTTCTTTAACAAATAAATTCAACGAGACTGACCAAGCTTGTAGGAGACTTGAACAAGCTTTACTTGAGGTAATCTATTAATCTTTTTCTTTCTTTATTTTTTATTGTTCTAGTAAATATTTACTATACACTAATAATTATAATTATGACTTATGACCGAATGAAGTGATTAAATAAAAATAAATATTCTTACATACAAAGGAATATTTATTTTATTTATTATGGAAGTTTTTGTATAAATTTAGCACATATTTATGTTTTCTGATTGTATTAAATATTGCTTTATATTTTTATTTTATTCTTTCAGTTAATTATTTTTAATATGCAATATAAAATATTATTTTTAGTGCTCAAAATCTTTAGCTGATTCGGAAAAAGTTATTATAAATACATCTAAGGCAATAAGAAAATTAGACGCACCGAGTAAATGCGCTCAGACTCGTTTGAGTATGCGTTTAGAACGTCATAATATTGAGCATTGTCGAGATGTTCCACAGTTTAGGTATTTATTATATTTTTTTCTCTGTTTAATCGAACTAGAATTACAGTAAAAAAATTTTAACCCTCGAGTCAGCGATGGAAATATTCAATGTTAAAAATTAAAAATTTAAATTAGAATAATTGAGTAATTTTAAGGTTTTATACTTTGAAAAATAATTTAAATTATACAATTAACTTTAATTTGAATAATAAAATTTTAATACATTTATTAGAATAGTTATAAAGTAAAAAGTTTAAAATTTTTCACTGACATGAGGATTTAATTTAAATAAAATTTTTATTCAACAGTTTAATCGATGAACTTAAAGATATCTCAGTAGGCGTAAGTGCATTGTCAACTAAAATAAATAACACTAAAAATATAACAGAAACACTTGATAAGTCATACAAAAAAATCCAACATGAAATAATGGTTAAGCGCAAAAGTTTGTGGATCGATGGCGAACGATGCCGCTTGCTGAGATCATTCTATCCTTCAGAACAAACTCTTTACGGCTATCAATAAGTATTAATAATAAATATCATTTTTTTAAATTATTTATTGTAATAATCGAAAATTATTATTTATGACAAAATATTTAAAATTATAAAACCAGTAAAGGAACAATGAAGAATTATTTTTTTTTTATGAAAACGCCAAAAATTACTACACTGAAGTATATGTACAAATAACTTTACTTCTTTCGACAGTAATAATAATAATAATAAGTAAAATAGTAGTGATAAGTTAACTGATAGCTGGGTCAATAAATTGATATTTTTATGTACATAAATTTAAAGAAGTTTTAAAAAAATTTAAAACCTTTTTTTTCCTTCGATGTTAATTATGGATATCAATTCAGACCATTAAATACTTTATTTTTTATTAAGATTGATCGATACTTGTTTTGCAATCCAATAAAAGAAAAAAATCATGTCTTCACTATTACGATTATGTGATTAATAAAAAAAAAATAACAATAAAACGGATAAAAAAATGACTAACATCTCGTTGATAATAACGTGTTAGTTATGTAATATGTTGCAATCACTCATCAGCCATTTCTTAGTAGTAATAATAATATTAATTATAGTAATTGTGATAATAATAATAATAATAATAATAATAATAATAATAATAATAATAATAGTAATAATATTTCTAGAAAAATATTGGTATATTTTTTTAATTTTCAGTTCTGAAATCAACAGTCACTGTATATTTCATTCAACGTGTCATAAAAAACTGTTTTGGAAGTTAAGCTGAGCACAAATATCTGTTAATCGCGTAGATATTTTTATATTAATTATTATAATTTTTTGTCTGATAAATTTAGTGCGCCTATTCAGTCTCTAAAAATTTACAAATATTGATTGAAAATAAAAAAAATGCACCCTCAACGAGACTTATCGGCTGCATAATTATTATTATTATTATTGAATAAAAAAAATAATAATAATCAACAAAAAATCAGCAAAACTTAAATATATTCATTGCTTCTTGGTAGATAAAAATAAAAAAATTCTACTCTAAATTCTACATTTTCAACTTTTCGTATAAATCCATTACATAACTTATTTAAATGAAAATTTTTTTATTTTATGTCACTTCAATTCAAGTTTTTTAAAAGTTTTTTTTTTATTTTATTTTTTTTATTTTGTAGTATAAAAATTTAAAGTATGTCTCGATTATTAACGAGATAATAATAATTATTACTATTATAATTATTAGATAGATATATATCAAAAATTACGTATGAAAATTATATGAAAAAATATTGAATAACAATTATATAAACATTTTTTAATAACTTGAGGCATTGTAAAATATTCTTCTTTTATTATTTCTGTCACTTTTTTTTTGTAATATTAATTTTTCTATCCTATGATACTTATTTTTTTTTATTATTATCGTTATAATTATTCATAGCATTATTATTATCATCAGAATAATAATGATCAGTTATGTGTTCTTTAATCGTCCTGAAAATTTCAACTCCCAGCTATCGAGATTTATTATTTTAATTCTATGTAGAGAGTTTTTGATGCTCAGTATAAGTGTTATTATTATTATCGTTATAATTATACTTTTTTATCGTCATATAAATTCTATTTCGTACGATAAAAATAAGGGAAAAAAAAGTTATGAGCAAAAAAAAGTTACTAGTTTTGTTTAAGAATATTTTAAAAATGAATAAACAGAACGCATTTTAGTTAACTCGTATTAACTTCTACAACTAAACACATAATCCGTATCAGTATTATCATCATCATCATTCATCATTATCAAATTATTTTTTTATATTTTTATTCATCAATGCGCTTAATTGATATATATATATATATATAATAAAGTATAAATATTTAATAAGCTGATATATAATGATACAATATTTACAGAAAGATGTATGATGACCAAAATAAGCCTGAAAGTCTCGTAAAAAGCACAACTCTAGATTCTTATATTATCATTATATTTTCTCATGAATTTCTTTTCTATCTGTCGTAAAATTCAATTAAACGTCAATGTTAAATTTTTTTTTTCATTCTTAATCAAATTATTAAATGCAGAGCTATTGTCATAATGCAAAAAAGAGAAAAAATTAATAATTGTAAAAAAACCACAATCAACTTAATCTATTCGAAGAAAAGATTACTTGAATTAATATCCATTATATACTATCAGTATTCAATGGCTTTTGAATACTCTAATTAAATAAGTATTATCTTATTAATTTAATTTATAAGACGCGTTGCATTAAATCTTTCAAATAAATTAAGATTTACGTAAACGTAGTCTTAATTAAGTTAGAAAATGCATTTTTAATCTTTAATATTTTAAATCGACTTTCGACGTACGCCGATAAAATATAATACAAAACAAGTAATCATGCACTGTTAAATATGAAATATCATAAGAAAGAATAAATATTAATTTTTAAACGAATGATTGTTGCAAATATGAATGAAATATTTTTTTTTTTTACTATACTTGAAACTTAGAAACGATTAACTTATTGCCATTAAAATATATAAATCATTCATACATTTACGCTTTGAATCACACATTTATAATTATTTATCAATAGTAATAATCCTATCTGACTTACGCAGGTACGGAGTCTATTTTAAAAATCACACAGATTATGATACCAACGGCGTACAATGATCTGCTAACAATTCTTCAAAACTTACAGACTCCGCGTAACCACGTGCTACTAATTCATCTGCGAGGGATATCACCTGAAATATTTAAAAAATAAAAAAATTTAATTTTTAGTTCTAGTTAATTATTATTAATTATAATTATAAATAAATAACTCGATAACTTACCCCGTGTTTGGGTAATTCAATATATAAACTGACGAAAATTTCAGTATTAGTATATGCTTCAACCTGTGCTTGACTAATACGATTACTACAAATTTGAGATACTACATCGAACGCTTCTTGCGTCCATTCACCTAATAAAAAATTCAATTCAATATTACAAACATTACGAAACAATTTTTATTATTATTGTTTTTTTTTTTTTTTTTTTCAAGTGAATTTTAATTGAACGTTGGCAAACATAAACAATAAATATGTACACTTACCATTAATCGGTCTTACATAAGCTAAATTAACTTCTAAAGTTTGAAAAGGCAATGTAAGAAATTCAGATCTAATTTGACGAAGTTCAGCACTACTAAATTTCCAGAAACCTCCATGATCAACTAAACGTAATAAATGCTGTAAACCTTCAATATCTGGCTGTTCTACGTACGCCCTCACCCATTTATTGTACCACTGTGCGACGACAATCATACCGCCTATAAATAAAAAAGAAATTAGTGTATACAAAAATAATAAAAAATTAATCCAGATAATAAAAGAAAATAAAAGACTGAAGGGGTAGATTGTTGAATGAATAAATGAATGAAGACACTTACGGGTAAGTTGGTCTGGCACATGAGGTGATTCGACAGTGCTATAGAATTGTGTCAAGTTGTAATCTAATAGCTTGAATGAAGGATACGTAGGATGTGTGGGTAATTGTATGAATAAACGATTTGGTTTTAAAATATGACACACCAATACATCATTATTAAGACTCTCAACTAATTGCAGCTGCATCAATTCTGGCACCCAAGTTATTTCTTCGGGCGATGTCGTTACATTAACTTGTTCAAGTGTAAACCCTGGGTAAGCTTTTTTAGGGAATTTTTGTCTGATCAGGTCCAACGCTGTCGCAATATTTTCCGACAGCCCTTCAATTATACATAATCTCAAGTCTTCATCTAATGGATGAAAGTCAATGGTAATATTAACATTTGCCTGATCGTTCAGGCTCTTTATTGAAGCACCGTGTTTTCCTATAAGTTTTCCGACGAATTTTTCAGGGATTAAAAATTCATAAAATGTTTTGCTATTGTTTTTTGGTACTTTTCCATTAATGCTTCCACCTGTTGAACCAAAGAATTTAAATAAAAACAATAATTTCAATGCTAAATAAAATTTAATTTAAAAAAAAAAAAAATACCTTTTCCACTGTCAGTGCTACCTTCGCTTCTGATGTCATCATTGACACTGCCGTCTAATACTCCGGAAACAGGACTATGATTTGCAGAATCTCGTTCAAACAAAGCCTGACCCGTTTTAGTCTCATCTCCAGCGGAAGCAGTATCATTTGTTTTCTCACAAGTTTCAATGCTAATTGAACGTGATCTGGTTTGAGGCGAAGCAACAACTGTTTGCTGTAGTAATTCATCTTGTTCCTCTGGTGCAGCTTTATCGCCTTCCTCTTTAACCGGCTCTTGCACCTCATTCTGTTCCTTAATAACAACTTGCCCCTGCTCAATACTCGCTTCAACTTTACTGACAACAACTTCCCTCCCAGAAACTTGCTCCTCGCCAGTATTATTATTATTATTATTATTATTATTATTAGTATTGTTATTGTCTTCGATATTTTCAAGAATAACTGGAGGTTTCTTGCGGATCATTCTGTCGAAGCTTGAAGATTTCGGGTTGCTGCCCAGAACAACTTCCTTCATGTCGGGCAAACCTTCAACGTCCTCGTACCAAGGTATGCTGTTGCCCGAAGATTTTCGCGACCTGATTGACATTGAGTCAGATTTCTTCATCGGTATATCTAAGCTCTCGCTAACTTTGCGGGGACTGAAAGTAACCACCTGCTCTTTCGGCGGGGTCTGGTCCAATAGGCTCAGTGAGTTTAATGATTTTTCGACGTGGATTCCTGAATCGTACAAGTCTAGGTCGTTCTTTTTAGATGTATTTATTTCGCCGTTTGATTTATCAGTGGCTGGTTCTTTCGCTGGTGAACTTTTATCTGACCTGGGTATCCCACCGGGGTCAACTCGATCTAATGCTCGACGTTTGTACCAAAAAAATCCAATGATAAACGCAAATGCCGGGAAGCTCCACTTCATTAACTGGATATTTTTGACAGACATGTTTGGTGTCCACGGTAGCCGTTTTTGTGCAAAGATGTTAAAAGCTGAAACGAAAATAATTGTTTTATACTCAAAATATTATTTTTAATTGATTTAACATCAACAGGTGTTTTTTGTTTTTATTAAAAAATAACAAAAATTGCATAATACAATTTTGCGAACTTTTAAAAATTATAATAAATTCCGTTTGCAGTAAGTTCAAGTTACAAAAAAAAAAAAACATTGTGTATAACAATAGAATGCAACAGAAATAAAATTAATAGCTGGAGGTGATTAAAATTATTGATAAGGAAAACGTGTTTTTAAGTTACTTTTAGCAGCCATCGATTATTTGTCATTACCCGAGTCAAAAAACAAATTCTAGTTTTAACCTCAAAAGCCTCAAATCCTTTGATGTTTTATTTGCCGCACAGAAAGTAACTCTACTTTAATACTCAAAATCCTCATTGAAGATTTTGAGGTCTTAATGTGAACCACCCGTTGATTTAGAGTCCTCACTACAACCTCAAAAGTCTCATTCAGTGAAAAGTTGTATTTTGGACTTAGAAAATTTTTGCTTCATCAAAAAAATTGAAGTTACATTTACAAATTAACATATAATATGAGAAATATGTCACAACTTTATGTAAAAATAGTTATTAAAAAATAAAAAAAAATTTTCTAAAAGATCAGTGATAATTTTTTTATCTGACAGTATAGTTTTTGTAGCATTTGTTTGCATATTATGTCTGTTAGGTACAAATTAATGTGACGAAACACGGAATCTTGATTTTTAGGCGAGAATTAAAGAACACCTACGCTCACGTTTAAGGAATGCAATTGTAACTAAGTCATTACCAATAAACTAATAGATAATAAATAATATCAATAAAAATCTAAATACATATTTGTTATTTTATTACGTAACGAATAATCAATTCTCAGTGACCAATGGACAAAATAATCCTTCAAGTTCGAAAAATTGAATTAGGTTCATTAACGTGCTGATACAACCGTAGATACTCAATAATTAAATGATTTTTTGAAGCAACTTACACAGTACATCAGGTAATTTAATTAATTTTTTTAAATGCTGTAAAACCAAATCCATGTAATGATTCATCAATGCAAATGCTTATTCAGATTTTAAATTTTTCAATCTGTTTTTTTTTTCTCAATCACAATTAAGTTTTTAATAATTAGCGTTAATTTAAAAATTTTGGGATTCAGTCACATATCAGTATTATGAGAGTCCATCATGTCTTGAAGTCGAATAGAGCTTTAAAAGTTTCATACTCTTAAAAGGAGATAGAAATGAGAATAATTAAATGACCTTATAAAAAAATGACATTACATAAAAGGGTTATGACAGTCAGAACAAAAATAGATTTTTTTTGCATTTTTTCAGAGTATATATAATAATAATTCTGTATCGATTTGTAAAAAATGAGATTGTTACATCATACAGTTTTGGAAATATTTAATTTTAAAGTTAGAATTTTTTTAGTTATACATTGCCCTATAGGAGAAAAGAATAAAATTTTCTAGTATACTTGATTATAACTCAAAAACTTTACGTAATACTTCCATAAAAACTAAACTAACACTAAACAAAAACTATTAATTTGTTTGAAAAAAGGTTTCATTTATGGTGACCATAAAAATTTTTAAATATTATTAAAAAATGAGTACAATATTCGAAAATAGTCATGAGTAAAAGTGTATAAGGAATAGTAATGTAATTAATATTTTCTTTATCTATCTTTTTGTCATAAAAATTTGTAAACTTAATTGACATCATTTTTAGTTAATTTAAGTGAAGCTATTTTTTGTTTACTGATAGTAAAAACAGTAATAATTGATACTTATCTCTAAAAACATTCATTATCAACGATAATAAAACAAATATTTTGAAAAGACTCCTCGAGATAAAAAATACATGGTTGGAAAACAGCATTATTTCTTTCCAGCATATAGTAGGTTTCAAATCCGAACGAAAGCCTCAAAATCCTCATTGAGGAATATGAGGATCAAATGAGAATTCCAATATGTTTAAAGTATGTACAGTTATCATCAGAACAACTACATGCGTAGTATAGAGTAGTCGGTTAGGTTTAGGCTTAGAGAGCGTATATAGGGTTCCGTGTTTCGAGTCCGAGCGTCGTACGATTTTAGATCAATATAATTTCGATACATAGGGAAACAAGAAAGGTAAACGTGTTAAGTATATGAAACGATAATCTGAACACCCAAATTGAAACAACAATCCCGAAAAAAAAAAAATTTTTTTTGGTTTCAATTTGGCTAATTTGTTTTGATGGAATTAATTACTAAAATGTTATATGACAACTTGTACCACTGCCAAAAAATTTTACACCTCGATCACTTTGAATTTATTTTATCAGATAAAACCATTTGTTTATTTAAAAAATGCAGGGAGGATTTAAAAAACAATAGTGCCATATTCATTTAAAATTTTTAATAGTAAAATTATTAAAGAATATTGTGAGGGTTTTGAGGTTCAAACGTGAATTCTGAAGTTCTATTTTTACCCTCAAAGTTGTAAAACTGTCCGTAAGTAGGATTTTGAGGTTCAAATCGTGACTACTTTCCATATTGAAATCTATCTTGAAATTTCAAATTTGCCCTCAAAAACCTCACTGAGGATTTTGAGGCTCAAATTGGAATTTATATTTTGACTCGGGTAGTACACTTAATTGTGTATAAGCTACGTGGCAATTAATTTGAAGGAATACAAAAAAAACCTAAAAGTTTACTATTTTAAATATTTATTAAAAATTAAACCAATCAATTGATAATACAGCTATTGAGTAGCGAAATTTTGCCACGTGTGTTCTTAAATCGGCAGACTCTGAAAGACCGATACGAAGAGAATGTAATATACGAGAGCAAAAATCTCGTTGAACTTTCTCAAAGAAGTTGCCTCAAGTGCGGGCGACCGGTTTTAGTCCTATGGCCAATTCACATGCACAAGCAAGCTGACGTAAAATATCAGCTAAACTTTATACAACACACATACTATCCACATACAGTGAGAATAATAATAACAGCAATAACAATTTAACTATTTTTTTTTATACTATCAAACTTTATCAATAACTACTGTTACATACTTGTATTGCTGTTATTTTAGTTTAAACAATAAAACTATAAATCATATAAAGTAATAAACAACTGTCGAAAATTTTAATTGCAGCAAATAAAATCACGGTAAATTAAATTTTTATTTAATCGTTTTTAAAATCAATCAATTTATATTTGATGATCAACGCATACACCGACTGGGACATATGGTTATTGAAGAATTTATATTAATTCAATTAAATTACATAAATCAAAAATAATAAAGTATTTATAATTATATCGAAATTAATTTCATGATTTTGACAAAAATTACTATAAAATTTAATAAACTATTTATTTATTCATAATTCAAATTTTAAAATCCAATTATTTACTCAATAATAAAACTTCCTGTTAAAACCCATCAAAATAAAACTATAACAAACTTACCGAAGCAAAATCCATATTGATTGAAATAAAATAAAACAAAAAATCAAATTATAGTGAAGAATACTCGCCGGCAAACAATAAAATTAATTAGAATGAATAAATAAATAGATTAATTAATTATTACGATAAATAACAACCAAAAAACAATCAATCTGTTATCACAATAATTATTGCACAGTGTCCGCGAGTAGTGACGATCGCGTTATAGTGACAGAGCAACGACTCAAACTTCCTGCACGTGGTCTTACAGCAGAAAAGCGACTGAAAACTGGTCTACCCACAACGGCACGCAGACGCGCCGAGTACTACGTGTCTTTATGTATAATAATAATACAATACCGACTATATACTCGAGGTACGCAGCAGGCAGCGGTCGTCGTGCCTTTCGACTTGATATCAGGCGAGAATACCTTGATAAGAGCTGCCGCAGGTAGGAAAACTATTGCTCAGCTTGCTGAGTTTAAATTGCCCTTGATAGCCTTTTTGGTTGAATTATTCAATAACTATTAATTTTTATAATTATAATTACATTTACATTTACACGTCGGTGCTAAGAGTTTTTTTTTTTTTTTTTATATTTAAACATACCAACAGATGCGTACTTTTATTTATTTTGCGGAACAAATTGGAGTCTTTTGAGTATGATCAAAAGAGCTTTCGAAATAAAATATTTTAAGTATGTAAATTTTTTTCTAGTAATAAAAGAGAAAGTTTTTGACAAAAATTTCAACAGAAAAAATTAAATCTGCCGATTATTGTTTTATTGCTTTATTTTTCCTTGCATTGCTAGCTGATTAAAGTGAAAGAATAATAATAGGGTGATAGTAAAGGAATAGAATGTAAAAAATCCTAGTTCACTTGTCTAGATAGATTTCAATGTACAGATAACAGCGTGAGGCTTGCTATGTAAAGGTATAGGTGCTTGTTGGAATGTCCGTCAACTTGTATTAGCTTACGTATGCTTACGACTTACAACTTCAACTCGGTGAGAATATATCTATAGAATAGAAATAGTTTTTTTCAATGTGCTGGTAATCGATTAGGCAATCGAAAAGTCCACGTATGTTTGATAATTTACAAAAGATAAATTTTTGTCTGTTTGAGTTAGACTATATAGTAAATATAAATAGTACTTAAAAAACCGAGAACGGTCTAAAGACTTGTTTCAGGCCCTTGAAAAGGAAAAGTTAAAGATGATAAATCTTTGGATTTTTGGAGCAGGTATCTGGGATACTCCCTTGAGGAATTAGGTCGGAAAATCGGCTTGAGTGTCATGGAAAGTTTTTTTTTTTTTAATTTATGGCTCGTTTTCAGAGAAGAAGGGGAAATTTTTTTCCAAAAATCGTGAGTTTTGATAAATTTATAGTAGCCATATAGTTGATAATATATTTCTGACTCATTGTGAGTCATTTGGACTACTTATTATTTAATTATAATCGCCATTTGTATGACGATAATAAGTGATTTTAAAACTATTTTCTTATCAC